GCTGGGACGCCTCGCCTTGAGGAGCCGTGTCCGATGCGTGTGTGGGGCCTCGGCACGGCATGGGGTGCACCAGCGCTCACCCAGAACCTGCTCCTGCCGCCCCCGAAGCCCAGGGCTGCGAATCCCAGCAAAGCCCAGCTCACGCCACGCGATTTGTGCGTGCTTTAGTGGCTATCTGTCAATGTCTAGATATGTTTTCTTCTGAAGTCCCAGAGTGGTTTGTAACTTCGATTATACCAGCAGATGATAAATGTAAGGTGACCTGCGAGACTCCAGGGTGAATCTTGATGCAATTGAAATCGCTGGGTATTTATACCTATAGAGACATGATTTAATCTATGGCGCTGTTTGATAAATTCAGGGTAGGGTTGACAGTCTCCCTAACCACCCTAGAAGCATATTTTTTATTCTGTTAGACCTTAAGAGCAGATATGCCTGAACTTCTCTTTTGAAGATAAAACTCCCTCCTGAACCCTACTAATTGGGTTCACCTCCAAGGTCGGGAGGCACGTCCGTCTCTGTCTCCATTGCTTACTCACGCATGTGGTCATTCTCCGGAGTTGCTGATAGCTATTGAACCTACTCAACCAATAACCATCAGGTGGTAATGAACTTACTTCTGACATGGGATCAGATTTGGACAGACAATTCAGACTCATAAACCTTTCTCCCCGTTCAATGTTCAAAATAAGGAAACTAGATATGCAGAGACTCTCCAGGTATTTTTTATTGTCCTTTGCCAGCCAGTCCGTCTATTAGGAATTCTCATGGGTCATTCCAAAGACAATTGTGATATACAAGGTTTCAGGGTTTCAGCATGAGCTAAATTTATTTAAGCAGAAATGGTTTCCTTTCATATTCTTTAGTGTACACGCACACACACACAAAAGAAAGATTTTCAGGCTCCCCAAGATGTCGCCAGTGTCCCTGGGGTCTTTTACACACAAGCCTCTTTAAACACTTATTTACAACAGAAACACACTTGTTACAGGAGTGTATTAAGCGGGGATTCGAACTTCCTTCTCTTTTGATAAATTTATTGAAAAAATACAGAGTGTTAGGATATTTTTAATTTTAACTAAGCTGCCTGTCACACTAATCAGACTGGTTTGAATGTGGTGCCCCTGAGAAATGCAGGAACATGAGGCTATAAAAAATATGCATCTCATACATGACATAACTTGATCATTTCTCATTTTGTTTTTCCAGGCACCCATGGAGTTTTATTACTGTTAAAGGAAATCCCTCCTCTTCTGTTGAAGACCACATCGAATATCAAGGTAACTCATGCACAAAATGCTGGCTTGACATTAACTCTGGAAGTTATTAGAATTATGGCTGAGATTAATTTGGTCAATGATGTTTTCACTTGACACTGCATTACATTGAAGCTGTGAGCAATTGATGGTTAGACATATTTAATTGAATGCTCTCTGTATATATTGCTTCTTCCCATTAATGCAGCTGAAGCAGCTGAGTGAGATATAACCTAGGTTACCCAAACCCTGAGATAAAAGGTGAGATCCTGCATCAGTGTAAATCCATGTAACTGTTGAGCTCAGACTCTGCCGCTCTTTGACACAAAGCTATGGAACAAACCCAGTTCACACCAAATGAAAATTTCATCAGTATATCCTGTATTGGTAGCCTCAAATACTCCTGCAAAACCATTTTCTTGCAAGCTGAAGACTTTTCAGGCTGTATCTTTTCATGACATTTTCAAGAGCAGCTAACAACATAGCTTGCTACAACATCAAATAAAAATAGCAATATATTACAAATAATTATTTTTTTATCCTCTCTTGATTTTTGAAGATTTTTCCTCATGGTTGTCCAAGCAGTTATAAAAGTGTCTGAAGCCTCATTCCAAGATCAGTAAATTTTTCTGGAAGCTGTGCAGGGCTAATTCTGCATAATGCAGCCAAAATATGCAAACACACACATGGACCATTACCTTTTTTGTTCTGACTTTTATCGATTATATTCAGTGATTTTACCAATATTTGTTTTTTACAGGTCACAAAGGGTCGGCAGTGGCCAAAGTATTCAAACTATTCAAAGCTGAGAATGGAGAACATTTTAACATCTCTTCGACTAGTGAGTGGGTTCAAGGTAAGAGGTCTGTGTGCCATTTAACTAGGTGATAGACAGTTGACAAATAGGGTGAATCATTCTTTTTATTGCAATACTTTTCAATTTGGGAAAAGCGGACTTGCTAGCTGCTATTTACGTCACTGCTAACCCAAGTGAAGAACACGCACAGATTCTTTCCCCAGTTGTCTCCAGGACTCTCCAAATAACTGGGATCCTTTTTCCTTTACTGTACCGGGTATGAAATTCCATCTCTTATGATCTAAGAGATCACACACAACCTCTTGCCGCTTTTGACTGCATAGTCATCATGTCCATGTTTCAGACAACATACAGTAACTGGTCGTAACTTGATCTGAAGATCAGAAAAGGCAGCTAAGGAGGACACAGATCCAAAATTCATACCTATTTATAATGCTTATACTGCATACTCCGATTATGTACCTTTTAATAACTCTACTCTCCCTTGGCTGGTTACACTTCACAGGACCATGAAAAGCGGCTGACAGACTGGCAGCATGAGGCAGGAATCAGATCATCAGTGAAGAAACTTGTGAATGATATCTGAGATCATATTATGCTTCATGCATTTTTGCTGCATTCATTAAGCTTGACTTTCAAATGACTTTTCTTGTTTGCACTTGTCTCCAGATGTAGAATGGACAGAGTGGTTTGAGAAGCCTGATAAAGCGAGATCTAAGGACATGGAGAAGCTTTCTGACTTCAAAGCTGCTCATCCTGATAAAATCTGTAGGCAGCCCATTGACATCCAGGTAGGCTAGCTCACCACTCACTTCAGAGGGACAAGTCCTCTTTGGACTGTCACTGAACCCCAAAATGATTGTGCTTGTCAGTAATTTTTGTTTCTAAAGAAAAGACACCAATTATTTTACGGCTCTAATACATAATCAACAAGATCTGGTATCCAGTCTTGTATCATTCTAAGGCAGAGCTTTATAGAATTGAGCTCCTTTCAGTAAGTTCTGGCCTCTGGCATGAAAAGGAGTACAGATGGGGTCAGGGACAGCACAGATGCTATCATGAAATATGTGGTTCCCTGCTGGAAGATTAAAAGGCAAAAACAGATGAAAATTTTGAAGTTTTTAAATGATCCCAGAATGGACCCTACCTAAAAAATTAATCACAGCAAGTAATGAGATGGTAAAGTTACCAGCTGTAGTAGGTTGGGAAAAAAATCGGTGAGCTTGCAGCCATTTCTTGGAGTTAATTGTTTTTTCTCTGTGGAAAGAAACTTGAATTCTGTTTGGGGCTAAACATTATAATGATTCCATCAGGCCAGCACACTGAGGAGAAATCATACCCCTTTTCTGAGACTGCAAAAGCCTCTTTAAGGACACAAAGAAAAAAGGTTTTTTTTGCATGTGTTCACTGTATACTTTATATGTCTACCTGGTAAAACAACTATAGCAGAAGCATTGCCTAGCAAAAGACAATAAAATACTTCATATTTCTGGGAGGCTGAACTTAAGGTTCCCACGTACTCTGAACCAGTGGAGTTGTCCTTATTCACAAGAATGTGGCTATTGAAGTAAACGGGAATGCTGACAGTATGAGTGAAAGTTTCCAGGGCTAGATGGTATAAAGAATCTCCTCTTGAACAGAAAGGAAAAAACTGCCCTACAATTTTCTGCCAGGTCTTAGCAAATCCACATTCATTTCTGCTTCCATATACATATATTAGAAGTGACAACTTAGTTCAAAACAGGGGTCAGATGTTTGTTATGATACAGCCCCTTCTAGCATGCATTAAAAGAGAAACGAGAAAGATATTCTTCTGTTCAAGAAACAAACCATTTTTCTCTTCTATTAAATGACAGTTACTTTTTTTTTCATGTATATTAAAAGCGAAACAACCTTTTTCAGTTTATCCTGCAGATCTTAGGGCAAATCCTCAGGTAGTGTAATCTGGTGTTGCTCATTGCCTTCATAAAGTTACACTGATTTATACCAGCTGGCCTGCTCCAGCTATGCTACATACAAGAAAATTGAAGATATGATGATAGTAACAGAAGTGCGGCACAGCCAGAGGCACATTCCTTCAGCTGATGGTGCTAATCCTATACGTGGCGGTGGGATGTATGCATCAATAAGGAAGGTCTGCTTGAGTGAGAGAATCAGGACCAGACCTTTCATTGAAAGACGGCTTATCTCCTGGTGCCGTGTTAAAATGCCCATGTTATTTGGATTGCCCAATGCAATGCATCACATTTTTGTGAAAGGGTCAAGAGAATTGCAGGCTCTAGAGCTGGACTGTGAAATTTAACATGACCATGAGGGGTGATAATGGCCCAGCAGGAACACGGGAGAAGCTACATATCGCACTGCTGCTTGGTATGATACAGCCTTTTTCCTCAAGGCAGCTCTGCAGGCTGGTACTTCTATGTGAGAAAAGGCCACCTTTCTTGTTCCTTTTGAAGCCATGAGTATCGGAGCAGCTTTGTTTTTTGCTTAGAGAGACTGATCCATGCAAAGGAGAAACAAGACCCCCACCTCTTTCTTCTGCAAGGTTCAGACCTAGTCTAGCCGTAAGCAATGAAGTGAGTGCATGGCTTGAAACCATGAGTTCATTTGGGTACAAGCATCTGTGTTCAGCGTCTTCATCTGCCTTCATCTGCTGTTCAGCGTCTTCATCGCTCAAACCAGCGGCAGGAGAAAATCTAGGGCACCAAGGCAGATGTTAGTGAAGCTCAGAATACTCCTCCCAAAAAAGCACATGGTCTTAATATAGATACAGGAAAAAAGCGTGCACCTAGCAATAATCTATGCAGCTTGTGGATAGAATAGCTGTGTCTGAGCACCAGCTGGAGTGCTGGCTGGATAGTACACGTAACAATCACCCTGTTTTGTTGCACAACTGTTGTGCAGCACCCAAAACAAAGCAAAAGCCTCTTCTGATGGCATCGATGTTTTGGTGAAATCGCTCCACCTCAAGGTATCACCTCTTTTATATTTCTATTCTCATTCCAGGCAATGACGCTTGATGGAGCTAATTTAACTACTGAGGTTTTCTACAAGAGTGGCCACGATTACAGGTTTCTGTGCCACGGCAAGGACCAGACGGGCGAGGGCTGCCAAAACTATAGAGTACGGTTCCTGTGTGGCAGATCTGGTATGTGCCCCATGTTTTAAAGCCAGATCAGGGAAAAGCAGAAATGCTGTCTTCCGATGCCTGGCTCTTGTTTGGTGTAAGAACCTGAGTAATTCCCCAAGCTAAAACTTTTGCTGGGCTATTGACATGAAGGCAGATAAAACAGCTGAAGATTTATCTCAGGAAAAATTCCTGACTGCTAACAGAGGCAACAGGGTGGTGTCTCAAAAACCCAGCAAGGCTACGGCACATACTTGGCAAGTCCCTTCCTGTAAATATCTTGTCTTTAGCAAAAGCATTTTGGGATGAGGTAGGATTAGTCAATCAGAGTGTGCAAAGACAACAGGTTTTGAAAGTAATACTTTATTTTGTAGTTATTAATTCCAACACTGCTGTCCCTAACCTGGTTGTTAGACAGGTCATTAGGATTCTTCAGCGCTCAGCTGGCGGGAAAAGGAGGGTGGAAGACTGTTGTTTTGCTGGAAAAAACAGTCATTAGGTTAAAGACCACTTGGCTGATGTAAATAACAGTGCCCAGTGCCCACAAGTGCTGCTGCTGAGTGGGTGTGGTGAAAATGAGCCACTAAGAGCTACATTTAAATTTAGTCCGGGGGTTAGTGGAAAATCCACCTGCCTGCAACTGAAAGAAAACACTTTCTTGTTTGCTTGCTTTCCAAGCCAAGGCCAGTAAAAAGCATGTTTGGAAGAGTTAACTATTTTTTGTTGCATGAGGAAATCATCATTTTTGTTGGCATTTCAGGAAAAAAAAAAAGGCAAGCATTTTCTGATAAGATTAACTGAATTCTCCACCCTTCCATTTTGACTTTTCAGTGAAACCAAAGCTTACTGTAACCATTGACACCAATGTGAACAGCACGGTCCTGAATCTGGTGGATGATGTGAGCTCATGGAAACCCGGAGACAGGCTGGTGGTTGCAAGCACTGACTACTCCATGTACCAGGCGGAGGAGTTCCAAGTACTGCCATGCAGAACCTGCAGACCCACCCAGGTCAAGGTAGCAGGTAAGGTGCTTCATCTTGTCATGCTGGTGTTACAGTTCACAAACTCTGTCATTTGTGTTGAGGTGCCTCCATTAAGAATTGCAAAGAGTTTAAAGACACTTGAATTTGACAACTAGTTTTTAGATACTTTTGGGAAAATACAAGCGTTTTGTGCTTGAAAGCCATCTAACTTGATTCTGGTTCCTTTCTGCTTTCCCTTTGCATAGCTGACTCTACTTTCTGCCTGCAAACACACTATTGAATGGATGTATTTATTAAAGAGACAAATACAGGTCATGTATTTGAAATGTTCAGTTTTACATAACTGTATTTGAAAATGTGTCACTTCCTAGAAAGCAGGAGATGAGCACAGCTGATCCGAAGAGTGAGCTAGGGCAGGAGCACTCCGTGGGAGACTGTAGGGCTATGAAGTAATGTGCAGCTGGCTATTTTCCTAAGAAAGTTATATTTAACTAGAACTGTAATCTTTCTTACATTTTAGAAATACTGTTTTGCACTACTGAAGCTACTGTTTCTCTTTTACTGTGTCTCTAGACAGACAGCATTGCTTAGAGGTGATGTATTAACCAAACATTTCTGGAGTCACGTGGCCGGCGAGTTGTCCTGAGCCACCGCACTGGGGGAGATGGAGCTGGTAGAGTGCTGCTTGAGTTAGTCTGAGCAGGAACTTTTGTAGAGCCACAGCATTTTTCTCTTGAAGGTGACTAGCTCAAATCCAGAACAAATTGCTTTTGATGAAAGGACATTGTGGTCCAATGACCGTAAAGTGGCCTTCAGATACTAAGCCCGATTAAGTAGCATAACCGTGATGAAGCCCAGACTGCTACTGATACAAGCATGAAAGTGAAATCCAGGGTGGGAGATTTGCATCTCCACTTGAGTCTGTGAAGTGGTATTTCCCTTCTAGGACTGTATTTTGGCACACTGATAAGCAGAGCATGGAAATACCACATGAACTGCCTCTTCTGTGAATCGATGAGGAGGTTTTAATTTATGTAATTTAGAAAAGCAAAAGTTATTTTACAATATAAACGTATGTAACAGCTGAGGCCGTATTTCAAAGGCAGCATCTGCCTCGTGGTAAATCATGCATGTTACACCCTCTTTTCCTTACATACTGGCAATTGCTCTAGGCAGAGGTTTTGTCTGCATTTACAGTAAGATCTTTCTGAGAAACCATCAGGGCACTTGGAACATCCAATGCACCAGGGAGTTTGCTCAGTTCTGTGAAATGAACTGCTTCACCATTATCTCTGATGCAACATCTTCTGGAAGGTACGAATATACTTCCTTTGGCAACTGCCTCCCACAGAGCTCTAGCCACTCATTGTTGGATGGCCCAAAAGAGAGATGTTCATCAAGCCAAGAAAAATGTTATTCACAGTTTGAATGTATCATAGTCTTATGACTTAAAATGACTAGTACTTTCACAGACAACATGCTTCCAAGTTGAATATTTTTCTTGAGCAACTTTTGAGCTATTGGAAAAACTGTACCAGACTAGTATGATACAAGTCACATCATGAAGATGATCTTGGAAGATCGTCAGTAAAAATAAAGACGACATAGGAATATGTCTCTTAAACGTCCCATAATCTAATGGATCTGTGAAATTCATGTAATTACATTTATCTTCTACAACAATGGCAACTAAGATAGTACAAAGACATTAATAAAAGGTTAAAAACAACAAAAAAGTTCATGTGAATTTCAGGCAAAGAAGCAGTGGAAATACTTGTTAAAGTAATTGTGCTTTTGGTCTCCGATTACTCTTTAGGAGAATTAGGACATTCCTTTTATTACCACAAATGACATGAACACCAGGGCCAAAGTCTGCCCGTACTTATATCCAGGCAACTCCACTGACGTCAATGGGATTTCACTGATTATATAAATCAAGGCAAAATCTAGTCCAGTAATAAAAATTACATCCAACTTTCTTGTAACAAAAGCACATTCACGCTAGAAAATAAAATAATCTGCCTGATTCTAAGTTCAGTCTGGATGAAATAAAACGTGGGGAAGGCTGAGACGTCCCCTGTTGTTAGGAGCCAGGAGGTCCCTGAGCTGCTCTAAGCCCAGCTACGGTGTAAGTTCATCCATTGCCCTATGCCATTACATGCAGTTAGCCAGAATAAGGACCACTGATGAGGCAGAGGGTGGTTGCTCTCCATGCCTCCTCCCCTCCGCTGCGATGCCTGCAGCTGCCTGCACAGCTCTGCCTGCGCCCTCCCTGCCCCGCCAGGCGGGCGGCAGTACCCGAGCGGTGGCTTTCCAGGTGTTGCTCCATCGCTGGAGGAGGCAAACACCACCGCACTGAGCGCTTGGCTTGGACTCAAACCTGCCTGCGTGCGGGTGTGCACGTGCGAACCCGCTGTCCCACGATCAGGCGCTGACTTTGATGAAACTTGTTGGGATTCAATTAATTACCTGCGAGATTTCTGTTAAATAGGGCTTTATTTGTCCCAGTGGCTCGTCATGAAGGGAGAACGGCCAACAGAGAGCAAAGCACATAAAAAATAGCTGACGGGCGGTGGGCTGACCCCCGGCCTTAGCACAGCTGAGCAGCCCCTGCACGGCTTGTGCTTGCCCGGCGCAGTAGTCGCTAACTCTTCTGCAGTAGTGCAGGAGATGTCCGTCGTAAATGTCTGCCTGCCTTTTGCTGTGTGAGATATCCAAGATTGGTTTGCTCCTTCTGAGGAAAGACTTCCACACAGATACATGTATATACGGGGTCTCAGAGGGATGTCATTTGTAGTAGGTGGAATGGCTTCATTTTTCTAAGAGGTTTATTTTAGCAGCTGAGAACCCCGAAAGTCTGCCCTTTGCAACACAAATGATAAACCTCTGATGGTTTATTTCCCTTCTAATCTTTATTTTTTTTTCCTTTCCGCTTTTTTTAAGCAAAACCTAAATGTCAGATCTGAACTACTTAAGAGTCTCTTTGTTTAAAGAAAGGCAGAAAACCTCTGCTTTGTGGACAGACAATTTGGCATACCAAGGTTTAATTATAATTGATGCTCTCATAGTTTAATAATATTTTAATAGAGATGGTTTAGCGTATTGTGCCAAATAAGTCAAACTTCTTAGTTAGCTCATGTCCTATTTATATTTGATACTTCCTGGTGAAAACTCATACTTG